ACCAATGATCATTGAAATAAAAAACAGATAAGCATCGTGCTGACAAGGTGTTAAGCATTATTCACTACCTATTTTTTTATTGAACACTTTCGTGAAGTTCAAATATTTTGATCCACTCCAAAAACGCCAATTACAGGTCGTATTGCTGTATTTTTAGTATGTGAAGAACAGCAAACATTCCCCTCGACCTTATTACCATTGAGTTTTAAATACTGAATATAGGTATATAGATAGACCAGCTGCAGCCAAATTGTATTCAAAAGAACTGCTGAACATTCATACAGAATACTTCGATATTTGGAAATGTTAATAAAAGGTGGCATGATTTGCATAGTTGTTTTTTTTTCACATTAGCTTGGTTAAAAAGTTGTAGTATTCAGCAGAATTTGTTATTTATATCAGTGCACTCTATCGTCGGCTTAATCCATACTTCCATATAACACTGGCCGCAGTTTTAACATTAGAATGCCGTGTATACTTCTATCAATAGTTACATTTTCAAAAAGTTCTCCATGATAATTAACTCAGTTCTACTCAAGAACTGTCCTTCACCAGCGTATTTTAATTAGTCCATAGCAATAGACAGCGCAAGGCTAGCGCATGCTCAGTGAAGTAGTGTCAGTCGTGAGTGCGCATGATCGGTGAGGTCAGAGGTCACACATTCACACATTCAGGTCAAGAGTGACACACCCTGGTCCAGATAGTACAAGGTGCAATTGTTACTGACACTGCCCGGCTTATCAGAGGTTCTCACATGTAATTGCGAATCTCTCGTGACGGTCGTGCATTAATTGCGCCCAACAGTTCCTTAATTACGCTAAGGCCTTAAAGGGTCCCAACAATGTTTCTTAGTTGCGCCAAGTCCAAGTCAGGTAGGGGTGAGTTGCAGGCAGAAGGAATGTCCTTGTTTACATGCCATCATAACCTATTCTTACCTAACCCTAACCTAACCTAACCTAACCTACTCAATTATACAGTCAAAGACGGCTGCTACCTGGTGCAGTAACGTCTTGGGTGGCTCCCTGGAGTAGTTGGTGCAATTCAGGAATACCCGACTACCTGACTCAGGTGAGTTGGCGCAATTATTGCCCACCCCTCGTGACAAGGAATCATAAGTATTGCAGAAGATATTCCCTCACACGTCGCCAATCCTGTATCTATAACAGCAGTGAGGGGCGACCCCCTGGTGTGCAGCGGCTGATATAACCTGCTACTTGCTGCCGCACCCTGGTCGTCGGTCGCCAGTTGATCACATATAGATGTTCAGATATCTGCCGCCGTCATCTCCATCATGACATTATTTGAAGACTTTGCAAATAACACTATCCATACAGGTTGGGTAAGATTTTAAAGTTTTCAGAATTGAGATCGTATCTGTGTTGTAGGTAAAGTTCAAAATGCTGTTGAAAAGTCTGCGGGTTGAGTTCAAAGGTTAGCTGTCGACTCTGAAAAGCCAACCGTACAAATACTAAGGTAACAGTATAAAGTAGACTAAAATGAATGTACATATAGCTGTTAAAGTTTGTCCTAATTACGTAACTATGCGCTATGGTGTATTCAGGAGTGTTTCAATTTTTGTACACAAAAATCTGTCGAATGTCTTTGTGTGCTTGGTACCTCTATCCTACACACCAAACTATGTACCATAGTGTCTTCTTTCTACATAGGAGACAACATATACTTACACCATGCATTTACCAATTAGAAGTATATGCTTACATCATGTATTTAGGAGTACGTACTAACAAAACACAATTCGATAAATCTTCTATATATTCTTTACATCATCTGGTAAAACTTATAACGGTTAAACCTACCACTTAGGTTCACGAGATGACCTGATAGGTTTCTAGCCTAGGTACACAACATGCCTGAAAGATATCCTTTTGTTAGTATGCCATAGTCTGCTAGGCCTCATATCTTGGTACATGAGCAAGATGCTAGGCTTACAATCTTGGTACATATTACGAAATGCCTTGGAAAGATTCCTATCTTGGTGCATTCCTAAGAAATCTTCTCTCTTGGTACAGTCTACCATATTCTGGCAGGCCACCTTGCTTGGTACACGACCTACCCAGGTAGCTTGTCATGTACCCTCGCAGATGCGGGCGTACCTTCCCCAGGACCTCGTCTCCTCGCAAGCTTTAGCACTTGTCTACTCCGAGGACATGCTCACGTCGTAGGATGTAAATTTCACAGCAGTGTTTAGGATACAGGGTTCTCACGATCGCGTGCTGTTGGGGTGTTAAATAAAAACGGAAGAGAAGCTTCAACGAGTGTGAAAGATTTGCTTGGCTTTACACCTTTCATTGCTCTTCCTGTGTAAGAGACTTTTGTTCAAAACTGTCTCTGCCAGAGAATACAAATTTGGGAAATATATGTTATATTTTTGTTGCTTTCACGCTTGCAAATAGTGCATACTATACAGACAAATGCTTTGTGAAGTGCAATTTAAGCTTTCAACATTCAATATGTTTCTCAAAGTGTTTCTCGACTTGTTACGACAATGGCTCTCGTAGTTCTTTAATTTACCTCATGTTTCAGACACAATATAAAAAGATTGTAAATCAACATTAATAATTAATTAAACTTACCACTCTCTAGCTATGAAAATTTTAGGTAGAACCCTTACTCGGTCGGGTAAAATTAGACAGTCCTCCCCTTCCAACTCTATAGGAATCTATAAGGGTATTTTATCTATACTGTACCTGTTAATACTGTATAAAAACTAAAACCCTAACCAAGTGTATAAAAGGTTCACTAAACGTTCCGCCAAAGAATAACTTAATACGCTCGACCTGTGACTTTGATTAATTACATGTACCCATGTACCATGTACATCCAATGAATAAAGATAAACACTGTGCAACAAGAAATCACATAAATTTGTGTTTAAGTTTGCATTAAGTAAGCAGTAATTTATTACCCATGAAGAAATTTAATGAATCTCACGCAACAACACAAATAAACATGTGTTTTTAACAACTCATATTCGAACCACGATACAAGATCGAATCCATATTGGAACTACTTTTCCATATCGAGTATATTCCTTGTGTGTTCGAGATTGAAAAAAATCACTTCCAGTGTCGCAGTTCTCGGTATCGTTGACAGATAATCAAAATGCAGTTTGAGACTAAAATATCCTTAGAAGGCAGTAGTCAAAGGGTCCGGTCGTTCGTGTCATTTGTACTGATTATTTATTCAATTGTTTCCATTCGACTCACGTCAAGCCAGGCTGGGACTGGGTCTGATCTCTTCAAGTTACAAAGGAAGGTACGTAACTCCGGTCTAGTTTTAGAACGGTTTCTATATTTGCGACTTGAGTGTGAGTCATCCTGCACTAGTTTTGTTCGACAAACGATAGAAATACTTATTTGATTTATACTTAGTGTGCCATTTACTCATATGCATAATTTATATTTGTAATGTGATCACTATTGCTTTCCTTAGAGGAGTTCTCCAGTATAAAGAAAGTTCTCCTCCCCTGAAAACATATTTTAAAACCGTTCTGAATGTTTGTAAGTACAGCGGTATTCACACTGAAAAAATATTTTTGTTGAAATAGCCTACACAATAAAAATGGCTTAACTATTTTTTCAAGTGTGTAGTAGGCTAACAAAAAATACAAAAATATGAAACGGCCAAAAAGTTGTCACCTACAGGCTACAGCAAATAAAAACTGTTTTTCACGTTTTTTTAGACCATATTTCAATGTCATATATCTAAGAAACTATGAAACATATTGCACTGCTCATAGTCTAACTTTGAAGATAATGATCTAATCTAAATATTTAGGTAGATTTATCATGGTAGCATTAGATGTTTATAAAAAATCGTAGAGTAAACTTTAGACTTTTTTTCAAAAAGACATCAATATATATAAAATATTATGTTTACAAGCAACATATTTACCTAAAAGTCTAATTCTACCTAAATATTTAGTAAAATATCTACTAAATATACGGTGAAAATATGAACTCTCTATCTCAATTGGTTCTCAAGATATATGTCGATATTTGTCAGAAAATTTTTTGAAATTCAAACTTTCGGAAAACCACGTTTGAAAGTAAAAATGTGAAATTTCGGACATTGACGTGTATGCATAAAATGTTTTTTTTTCATACTTAGGTTAAGATATAGGTCTTAGGGTACTATATATTTTCGTTCAGTAGGTTTTAAATGACAAAATCATTCAAAAAGACTTTTTTTAAATTTTATGATTTTTCACTATTTTTAGTGGTGAATCCCCTTAATCATATACTGTATAATATAATGTGTATTAAAACCCCCGAGTTACAGCATTGCTAGATGCACTGTAGAGTAGGTAAACTCAATTGGTGATTGGCATGGTTCGAACTTGGACCTACTGGATATAAATCCTCTGTTTAAACCGATAAAGAACCCGATTATTTGTTTTTTCCACAATAATTGATACCTAATACAGTGATTAATGTTCGTGTATTGGTAATACGATTTAAAATATTGATACTGTTTTTAAACATTGTTCGCTGTACAGTAAACACTGTCCAATTTCAATATCAATACAATAAAAAAAGTTTGATAACTATTTATAAACAATGTTCGTTGTAAACACTTCCTGATTTCAATATCAATGTTATGTAGGAGTCGAAAAATGGTTATTTTCCAATACTTTCTAGTGGCTAAATAACCTAAGTGTTTATACGATAAAAAGTTGTATTTTACATAAAAAAAATATAAAGTTTATATATGTGCCTTTTATTTTTCAGCTTGAATAAAGAAAGTAAAATGGTACCATAATGTCATTTAGATTTGCAGTAGAGATTCTCAAGCGTTTTTACTTTTGACGTTTACCTATTATAATAGCCAATTTCCAAGCTATCTATTTTTAATACCTACCTCTAACACCACACAGGGCAGATAATATCTTGAAGATAATGAACGTATTGTAATCAAAATATGAATACAAAATAATTGTCATACAAATAAACACACAAAATGTATTGGTAGTCTATAATTAATAATTTAAAATTTCCTGTTAAAAAGTTTTAATCAATCTGGCGCGATCTCTAACAGACAAATATGTTAGAGACAAAGCATCAGTCTCTCCTATGTTGGCGACGTTGATTTTCTTCACACAAGTGATGTATTGCAGGACAGACCACGCACTACACACAACATGGTTCATGGGATTTACCTTCATTTCATCGTATACTTCAGAAGACCGCACGTATCCGCTGTAGTTCTCAACAATACACCGCTCAGCTTCTTCTATCTCTGTGCTGTTCTTTAGAAATCTCTGCAGTAGCAAATTGAGCTCATTTTTACTCAGTCCGTAGTACTTCAAAAGTCCGGGATAGTTGTCCAAAGCAGACTTGACCCTCGGCGAGTATGGAAGCCCCCCACGAAGTAAAGACCCTGTAATTATAACTCGACTAACGTATTTCGATTCTATAATTCGATTATACATATCGATAGTAAAATTGTAAACTGAATCTCGGCAGTCTTCTGAAACTGGTGCGTCTATAATAATGTCATAGTCGTCTACCAACACAACTAAGGGTGTTTTAAAATAGTTGTACACTATTTCAGCTAATATTGTAAACCCCTTTTCAACATCTTCTTGCTTCATGTTTTCCAGTGAAGTTTCATTGAAATACTTTTCAAAATCATCTTTACAAATGTTTGTAGCTTTCCAAATTTCGTGGTTTTGTAATAAATATTTGTGTTGTAAAAATGTTTCGAGTAAAACTATTTTATACTTTTTAAGGAGAAAGTTAAATTTTGTAACTGTTTCTAAAGGCTTGTAAGAAATGAAAATGACTGGGTGCTTTGCAAAATGTTCATCGAATAAATGTTTATATTGAAATATTTGCAATTTATTGGTTGAAAATGTTTCGTAATTAACTGAACTTTTACTACTCACTCTTCTTTCTTTTTCATCGACGTTGATTTCTAAAAACCGTTTAATCATGTCTAAGTTAGTAGATTTACCAAAGTGGGGTGCTGCAGAAATCTCTAGAAATGTTGACACTTTACTGTCCAAAAGTTCTTTTATCAATAGCGACTTATCGATGAAGAAATCACTTTTGGTCACCTCGGTAAAGTTACTAGAATCTGATGTGTAGAACTGAGCAACGCCACTTACAATGGTAGGCTCGGATGTGAGTTCATAAACAAAGTTCTGTGCGAAAAGTTCCTCTATTTCATCACAATTTGTAAACGTCACACTCACCACAAAAACTAAAACTTTTATCATAATGTGGTCTTCAGCTGGTTTTATTTTACAAGATTACTTTTGACGCGTGTAATAAAGCACAAATATGAAATTGCAGTACCTCCACTAAACGTGTCTTGTAGTAATGTATCTGAAGAAACAAACACTAATTTGTGTTGTAACATCTCAACGCCAACTGAACTCTCCAAGATGAGATAAGATCAAATTTGTGATATGTGAGTTTTACTGTGTGATTATGATTCATTACAATACGTCAATCAAATGACAATTAAATGGCGAAATGAACACATCACAATCAAAATAACACACGATATTTGTTTATAAATATTGTATATTAGTAGTGATCAATTATTGCGATTAGAAGTCCCATGCATAGAAGAAGTGTAATTTTAAATAATATCGTTGGGATTGTTAATTTTATATAGTATTTATCAAGTTTTAGGGATTATATTTAACTATTAACATTAGGTACCACATTTTCATTTTAAATCTTTATTAAAACACAATTTCCTTGTCATATAATTTCGATGCACAGAAATTTTATTAAATTTACAGTTACACACTATTGCACTTGCGATTTATAAAATCCGTTATGTAAGGCACAACGTTTTTAATTTCACTTGGTTTTGGATTTTCATACAAAACGTGATTGGAAATGGTTGCAGTATTTGTAAACAACATTTAATGTAAACATATCCAGTGAGAGCTAGAAAAAAATAATCTTTATCCAAACAGCTGTTCGTACTTCATAGATGTCGTATTCTCCAAACAGATGAGTATTTCAAAATATGACGTAGCCTATTATATTGTAAGCGGAGAAAACTTGACAAAAATTGCACAAAATTGGGGTTTTGAACGTCCGTTATTATATTTCAACAGTAGTGAGGCAATATTTTAATGGCTAAGGACACTCTCGCCAATCCAGTGAATACAAAAATTGAATGAATTCAAACTATTTGAATCCCGATCGATGCTCTTGTTTTTCAGGAGAAAGCCGCGTAAAATGCCTTCTGGGCCGTGACAGACAGAAATTGAGATAAGACTAGTTTCGGCTTGTATAAAACTATTGACTATATATACAAAACGTAAAAATAACAATATATATATAATTCTGAGCAATGAGCAGACTGAATTCTATTTTTCTTTATATACATTGTTGGGGTTATTAATTTTATGTAGTATTTATCGTGTCTTAGGGATTATATTTAACTATTAACATTGGGTACCACATTTTCAGTGAAAAATCTTTATTAAAACACAATTTCCTTGACATATAATTTCCTAAGCACCGCCAAACCTGACAACGCCCAGACTAACAAGACACTCTAAGGGAAGTTCAGATAGATTTCTTCCGGTGAAACCAGTTGGCAGATTTTATATTTCATCAGCCGACAAGAAGGATAATACGCTATAGACTGAAAACCCACCACCACCAGCGACAGCAGAAGTCAACACAAATTAAATTTTCAAATAAAAATAAACAAGGGAAAATAAAAGATTAGAAGCGGCTTGCCAGTAGAGACTAGGGAGATAACATCGGGACATAAATTTGCAGACCAACTCCTATTAAGTTGGCCGCCTAACACAGCCCGGCTCTCAGTGGTGATGGCTTATTTGTTAACAAACAGTAATGAAGGCATTCCATCGGACAGACCATGTTGTCGGGACAGTGATAAATAAATGATATTCCCTAAATCGAACCACTTTGGTGTTCGGCGAATTCGTGGGAATGTGAAAATAAGCTATAATATTATGGATAGTGTGTTGGAAGAAATTTGTTAATTTGGTTTGAATTCGAAGTATGTATAATCACTAAATGCAAACGCAAGTAAAAATTATGTATTCTAAAACTGTAATCTATTGTTTATGGAAATAAGTAAACACGCACTACAGTATAATAAAGTTTGCTGAAACTACGACTGATGATTTAGAGGCAGAGATGGGTCATATTTAACAGTTCAGAAACATAACAATTCACCAGCATTTATAAAGTTTGGGAGTACAAGAGTTATCTATAATAACAGGAATTATTATAGGACCTTGCAGATTGATGCTAGCACACAGTTTAAAACTGAACTAAGAAGCCAAAGAGCTCTCTTTGAAATCCAAAGGTCGGTCCTGTGATAATGTTTGAACTTCTTCTAGATAGTACAAAGCTCGACCAAGCTCCTCATAATGACAGGATTTTTGATGAGTTATCTTAAAAGAATATTAGGAATCTTACGTTTCATCATGCACTCACCATTCAATCATTTTAAATTAAAACACGCTCTATTGGGCATGGTTATAAATTCTTCGATCAATTATTGGAGGTTAATTTTGATACCCTGCTCTCCTATTTAACCTGCCACTCTGCAGTTTGAGAGTGCAAGTGCTCGTGATCAGAGATGCTCTAATTTGACTTGCAACTCTGCAGTTTAAGAACAAGTGCTCATGATCGGAGATGCTCCCATTTGACCTGCAACTCTGCAGTTTGAGTTTACAAATAATGCTCGTGATCGGAGATGCTTATATTTGACTTGCATCCCTGCAGTTTGAGAGTACAAATGCTCATGATTTGAGATGCTCCTATTGACCTGCAACTCTGCAGTCTGAGTGTACTTGAGTGTAGCTTGTGATCGGAGATGCTCCTATTTGACCTGCATTTCTGCAGTTTGAGAGTGCAAGTGCTCGTGATCGGAGATGCTCCCACTTGACCTGCAAATCTGCAGTCTGAGTGTACAAGTGCTTGTGATCTGAGATGCTCCTATTGACCTGCAACTCTGCAGTTTGAGATTACAAATAATGCTCGTGATCGGAGATGCTCATATTTGACCTGCAACTCTGCAGTCTGAGAGTGCAAGTGCTCGTGATCGGAGATGCTCCCATTTGACCCGCAACTCTGCAGTGCGACGGCGGTGGCGGCCAAGGTCTGGCGGCGCACCTGTCGCGGTGTTTGCCCTCTCTCCCTCTCCCACCCCTCTCACTCTCTCCGTTACTGACTTCAGTTCACGTTCACAGTTCAGTGTCAGTAGTGCGTCTAGCAGGTAGTGTCGTGCGTTCGCGCCTCTTTTCTTATTGTGTATAACCTCTTCTCCCATATTTTGGATTACATTTAGTCGCATCCTTTATTTTTGGTAAGTGGACTTTTGCACTGACATTTGTTATGCCATTGCGCTTAAATTTTTATTTCTTTTCCTGAATATTTACAGGTATTTTTGTCGTGTATTTGATTTCTTTTCGTTAGAGGAGTGGCGTCCTCTAACCGGTTGTGATGTGTTTTTATTTGAAGAGGTAGAGGAGAGTTTTATTTTGTAGGCCTATTATTTTTATTTATCGATTACTTTTGTACACGATAATAGGTACTTTATGATTCGAAGAATTGGAATACAGTACTACTGTTTATTATAATATTTTACTTTATTATTTATATGTGTAAGGGTTTGTAAATTAAGCACTGCATTCTTATGTGATTAATCTACATTTGTTATCTTTCAACTTGTCCTCTCTTGTTTCCATATCTATTCTTGTTCTACTATTATAACATATTGTTATCATTGTTGCGGAAATTGATAAACGTCACGAATTAGCCGGCGAGGAAGCTAACAATTATTTACGCGGCTTGGAGTATGTATGGTAATTAGTTTATCCATCGTTGTAATTTATGTTTTTATTAATACATTATTGACCAAGAGGTCTAACCTAACCTAACCCAACCCAACTCAATTATGTTAGAGCCTGTTTTACTTCTAATAGGTATCTGTAATTTTTTTATAATTGATTGCTCCTCAGACATAGTTAGGAACTTAAGTTTGAAACTATTATATTATGAATGAAATGAATGAATGAATGAAATGAAAACAGTGCTTTATTTTTGTTGGCATAATTTTTTTTTTGTACAGTACACTTTTAATTTAAAACTATAAATTCAATTCTGGACTAAAATCAAAAGTAAAAAGTCTGAAATCAAAATTTTTAATTAAAGCAAATTAAACTAAAGAAATAAAATAGCTGGCTCACAGCCCAATACATGTTTTAGATACATATATACTCATATACACATACATGTACATACATACATATATATACACACACACACACATATAGGCTACACACACACATAAACATACATATATAAAAAACAAATACCCCCACCAAAAAAAAAATCTTGTCAAAGTCAGTGAATTTTTCCTTGAATCTAATTCAGGAGTATGAATATTTCAAATAATTTTTATAAGTTAAATTCGATTATCAATCCCCACCTAAAATGCCAAGCTTCTTTTAAATACCCACCCAACGCGCGCCAATCCCTACCATTCATAAAACTCAAAAAATCTTCCCACTCCAATACGTGTTTAGAAAAATACTTCTTTCTTATATTATGACAACTGGCAAATTACAACACCGAACAATGTATCTTTAATCCTCTTGCTTATTAAAAAAATCCTTCGCGTTTTCTTTTCGTGTATGCGTAGGCCTACTCATAGAAACAACGAAGGGTCAGCCAACAATGCTACTCCACTTGCTAGATATTTTACCATGCAACCATGTATCTATCTACACGCTAGGCATGTGCCAAGGGACAATGTACCTTGTCAACACCTGCTGAATACGACCGTGTATGTCATAGTCGCTTGACATATCGCGTGGCTCTTTGCCTGTTGAGTAACAAAGCGTTCAACTCGGTTCGTTAAACTCTGACTAGTTGCTTGAAAAAAGCATCTTGCTAAGCTGTTTGTGTAAGTTTTGTATAAGCGTGCTTAAATAAGCCTTTGAGTTACACTAGTCTAAGTGACATATAGGTGGAAACCACATTGGCGTTATCTACAATATATTGTAAATACCATGTCGCCTCAAGCGGTTTAGTTTGCTCGAAAACAGAAAACTGCTTCATTACAAAATTAGCGATAAATCCCTAATTGCCTGTGAGTCAAGATATTATTATGTATAGTTCCTTCTGTATTATTACTGTTTTAAATTATGTTTTATTACTTTGGCCTATAGGCCTAAAGATGCCTATGAGTTGTGTCTCTCCAGTAATATAGGAAAGCATCACAAAGTCACTCAATTTATTCAAGAGTGAGAACTAATCTCACTTTTAGTATTTAATTTATGTCTCTAAAATCGAAGTAAAAATAAA